TGTGTGTAGGTGTAGTAGTGTGTGTAGGTGTAGTAGTGTGTGCAGGTGTAGTAGTGTGTGCAGGTGTAGTAGTGTGTGCAGGTGTAGTAGTGTGTGCAGGTGTAGTAGTGTGTGCAGGTGTAGTAGTGTGTGCAGGTGTAGTAGTGTGTGCAGGTGTAGTAGTGTGTGTAGGTGTAGTAGTGTGTGCAGGCGTAGTAGTGTGTGCAGGTGTAGTAGTGTGTGCAGGCGTAGTAGTGTGTGCAGGCGTAGTAGTGTGTGCAGGTGTAGTAGTGTGTGCAGGTGTAGTATTGTGTGTAGGTGTAGTAGTGTGTGCAGGCGTAGTAGTGTGTGTAGGTGTAGTAGTGTGTGCAGGCGTAGTAGTGTGTGCAGGTGTAGTAGTGTGTGTAGGTGTAGTAGTGTGTGCAGGCGTAGTAGTGTGTGCAGGTGTAGTAGTGTGTGTAGGTGTAGTAGTGTGTGCAAGTGTAGTAGTGTGTGCAGGTGTAGTAGTGTGTGCAGGTGTAGTAGTGTGTGTAGGTGTAGTAGTGTGTGCAGGCGTAGTAGTGTGTGCAGGTGTAGTAGTGTGTGCAGGTGTAGTACTGTATGTATGTATATATGTAGACGAATTTATATAGCTTTAGGATTGTTTATATATTACCGCATGTGTATATATATATAAGTAGACTTGTGTATCCTGATATGAATTCTAGACTGTAGTGTAGACTGCAGTGTGGAAACCTCCGCTCTTTTCCATGACTGTTACATCATGACTGTTTTGAGCAGTCATGATGCTCTTTTCCATGACTGTTTTGAGCAGAGTTCCGTGCTGCGTTTCACTTACGAGATGGAAAAGGATGGGAAGCTGCCCTTTCTAGATGTAACAGTCATGGAAAAGAGCGGAGGTTTCCACACTGCAGTCTACACTAAGGAAACGAACATAGGAATGTGCCTAAATGCCAACAGCGGCTGCCCAGACAGGTACAAGAGGAGTGTTGTTAACGCATATGTCGACCGTGCTCTCAGCCACAGCTCAGATTGGAAGCAAGTCGACGAAGAACTCTGTAGGGTAAGTCAGGTCCTAGTCAACAACGGCTTCTCCAATGATTTCGTCGAAGACATCATAAGAAGGAAAGTGAAACGCCATGCAACCTCTGAAGAGACAACTAACACAACACCTATACCCCCTATTAGACTATTTTACAGGAACTTCTTTTCCACAGCTCATAAAACGGAGGAAAGGGTCCTGAAAGATATTGTTAATAGAAACGTTATCCCTACAGACAAAAATCAGAGGATACAACTGACGATTTACTATAAAACCAGAAAAACGGCCAGCCTACTCATGAGACACTCTCCAGACACAAAGCAGAACGCTTTAAAAGAGACCAACGTCGTCTATGCCTTCAAATGCCCACTTGGGGACTGTAAGCTCCAAAAAACCCAGTATATAGGCAAGACAACAACATCTCTTTCTAGGCGTTTAACGATGCATAAGCAACAGGGCTCCATTAAGGAACATATAATCTCTTCCCACAACCAAACCATCGCCAGAGAAATCCTAGTAAACAACACAGAAATCATCGATAGATACAGCGATAGCAGACGGCTTGACGTTTGCGAGGCACTGCACATTAAGAAGTCAACACCAGCAATTAACAGCCAATTAATGCACAACTATATTCTACCCACCTCAAGACTCCGCTCCAATATAGAAGCATCAAGAAATATGGACCAATAGGCTTTCTACAATCACTTCCATTTCAATACCCATTGTTTCGTGTTCTGTCTTGTGTTGATGAAATTAATACCCTATTAAATACCACCTCACCCCATCCACCTCACTCAAATGTAGATATAAACAAATCGGAGATATGTAAGTTCTATTCAGTTGTGTATGTGTAAAGTCTTTGAAAATGTAATAAGTTTTACGAAACGCGCTCAAGTGTCGCGTTAGACTAGAAATAAAAATGAATTTTGGAGAATTGATTTTTGAATTACCTCCAACAGTGAAAAGAAATGTACGAAAGATTGAGAAAATTCGTGTTATAATTATTAATCTTACTTTTTCGGTCATATTTAATAATATATGTATATATATATATATATATATATATATATATATATATATATATATATATATATATATATATATATATATATATATATATATATATATATATATGTGTGTATATATATATATATATGTGTATATATATATATGTGTATATATATATATATATATATATATATATATATATATATATATATATATATATATATATATATATATATATATATATATATATATATATATATATATATATATATATATATATATATATATACAAATACACAACTGAATAGAACTTACGCATCTCCGATTTTATATCTGCATTTGAGTGAGGTGGATGGGGTGAGGTGGCATTAATAGGGCATTATATATATATATATATATATATATATATATATATATATATATATATATATATATATATATATATATATATTTTTTTTTATAGCAGTCTTTCCTGTAGACATATATTATTGAATATGACCGAAAAAGTAAGATTAATAATTCTAACACGAATTTTCTCAATATTTCTTATGGTTCTTTTCACTATTGATGGTAATTGAAAAATCAATTATCCAAAATTCATTTTTATTTCTAGTCTGATGCGACACTTGAACGCGTTTCGTAATAACTTATTACATTTTCAAAGACTTTAGTTTACACACACACAACTATAACTAGCAAACAATGTTTAAACAGCTTTGATTTTATACCTGCATTTGGGTGAGGTGATAGGTTACAACAGTTTTGGATGAGGTGAAAACAAACTTTCAACACAAGACAGAACACGAAACAATGGGTGTAATATTTTGTAAGTTAAAGGGAAGAATGGAAGTAACTGCAAAGGGCCTATTGGCCCATATTTCTTGATGCTTCTATATTGGTGCGGAGTCTTGAAGTGGGTAAATATAGTTGTGCATTAATTGGCTGTTGATTGCTGGTGTCGACTTCTTAATGTGTAGTGCCTCGCAGATATCAAGCCGCCTGCTATCGCTGTATCTATCGATGATTTCCGTGTTTTTTGTTAAGACTTCTCTGGTCATGGTCTGGTTGTGGGAAGAGATTATATGTTCCTTAATGGAGCCCTGTTGCTTATGCATCGTTAATCGCCTGGAAAGAGATGTTGTTGTCTTGCCTATATACTGAATTCTTTGAGGCTTACAGTCCCCAAGTGGGCATTTGAAGGCATAGACGACATTGGTCTCTTTTAAAGCGTTCTGCTTTGTGTCTGGAGAGTTTCTCATGAATAGGTTGGCCGTTTTCTTGGTTTTATAGTAAATTGTCAATTGTATAATCGTCAATCGTCAATTGGATAAGTTTAGATATAGGAAAGACTTGGGTAAATACTGGTTCAGTTACAGGGTTGTTGATTTGTGGAACCAATTGCCGCGTAACATTGTGGTGGTGGGGTCCCTCGATTGTTTCAAGCATGGGTTGGACATGTATATGAGTGGGATTGGGTGGTTATAAATAGGAGCTGCCTCGTATGGGCCAATAGGCCTTCTGCAGTTGCCTTTGTTCTTATGTTCTTATGTTCTTATGTATATCCTGATTTTTGTCTGTAGGGATAATGGGATAACGTTTCTATTAACAATATCTTTCAGGACCCTTTCCTCCGTTTTATGAGCTGTGGAAAAGAAGTTCCTGTAAAATAGTCTAATAGGGGTACAGGTGTTGTGTTAGTTGTCTCTTCAGAGGTTGCATGGCGTTTCACCTTCCTTCTTATGATGTCTTCAACGAAACCATTGGAGAAGCCGTTGTTGACTAGGACCTGCCTTACCCTACAGAGTTCTTCATCGACTTGCTTCCATCCTGACCTGTGGCTGAGAGCACGGTCGACATAAGCGTTAACGACTCTCTCCTCTTGTACCTGTCAGGGCGGTCACTGTTGGCATTGAGGCACATTCCTATGTTTGTTTCCTTAGTGTAGACTGCAGTGTGGAAACCTCCGCTCCTTTCCATGACTGTTACATCTTGAAAGGGCAGCTTCCCATCCTTCTCATCTCGTAAGTGAAACGCAACACAGAATTCCGCTCAAATGCCTCCTTCAGCTCCTGCAGATGTCTGACATCAGGTACCTGTGTCAAAATGTCGTCAACATACCTGCAGTATATGGCTGGTTTCAAGTTCATGTCGACTTAGACCTTTCGTTCAATGGTACCCATGTAGAAGTTCGCAAACACCATTAACAGTGAAAAGAATCATAAGAAATATTGAGAAAATTAGTGTTAGAATTATTAATCTTACTTTTTCGGTCATATTCAATAATACACACACACATATATATATATATATATATATATATATATATATATATATATATATATATATATGTCGTACCTAGTAGCCAGAACTCACTTCTCAGCCTACTATTCAAGGCCCGATTTGCCTAATAAGCCAAGTTTTCCTGAATTAATATATTTACTATAATTTTTTTCTTATGAAATGATAAAGCTACCCTTTTCACTATGTATGAGGTCAATTTTTTTTATTGGAGTTAAAATTAACGTAGATATATGAACGAACCTAACCAACCCTACCTAACCTAACCTAACCTATATATATAGGTAAGGTTAGGTTAGGTAGCCAAAAAAAGCTAGGTTAGGTTAGGTTAGGTAGGTTAGGTAGACGAAAAAACATTAATTCATGAAAACTTGGCTTATTAGGCAAATCGGGCCTTGCATAGTAGGCTGAGAAGTGAGTTCTGGCTACTAGGTACGACATATATATATATATATATATATATATATATATATATTTATTTATATATATATATATATATATATATATATATATATATATATATATATATATATATATATATATGGAACTTATGTGTAAACAAGTTGTGAATTATTTTAATAAATATGACATTCTATTACATAGCAATATTTTAAAAGCAATATATTTTTGTGTGGTATGAGTTCATGACTGATTGTGATGGTTCCCTCAGGTGGTTGTGGCGGTGCTGGCGGCGGCGGCCATACTGATGCCTGTCCGAGCAGGTGAGTCTCTTGGCACCTGTTGGCCTCCTCATTTGTCACCTGTTGACATCACGTAAATTATCACCTGTTGACATCACGTGTATTATAACAACCAACCTTTCAACTGATACAGTTAAAATGTTCGAAACACTACGCTTGCAAGTGGCTGTACAAGAATGTAAGAACTCTTGTATATATAAATAAATATATATAGATAAAGTTACAAATTATAATTTTACCAAACAATTACCATCAAAGTATTATCTGTGTCGAAAAATGAGATGCATTTGAGCTTTGCTTAAGATGCGGCAAATGTCACCTTGTCATTGTTTTCGTTGCGTCATGCACATCTCTCACGCTATCAAGCTCATGCAGAACTTTTACTTAGTACGAGTACACGTGTAGCATAGTACCTGGTGCGTTATGCATGGCGGCTACCGTACTGGGAGTGCGTATACGCGCCCTGCAACTTGCTTGAAATGTTGCACTCTGACTAATGGCACTTCAGCTCACACAGATCAGTGTTATAGATCTATTTCACCAGAGTAACCCAGAACGACATTGTATATTAAATATGTGCTGTGGGTCACTCAGTGGTGCCTACATGCCCAGCCTCTCCCTGTGGGTCACTCAGTGGTGCCTACATGCCCAGCCTCTCCCTGTGAGTCACTCAGTGGTGCCTACATGCCCTGCCTCTCCCTGTGGGTCACTCAGTGGTGCCCATATGCCCAGCCTCTCTCTGTGGGTCCCTCAGTGGTGCCCATATGCCCAGCCTCTCCCTGTGGGTCACTCAGTGGTGCCCACACGCCCAGCCTCTCCCTGTGGGTCACTCATTGGTACCTACATGCCCAACCTCTCCCTGTGAGTCACTCAATGGTGCCTACATGCCCAGCCTCTCCCTGTGGGTCACGCAGTGGTGCTCATATGCCAAGCCTCTCTCTGTAGGTCACTCAGCTGTGCTCACATGCCCAACCTCTCCTTGTGGGTCACTCAGTGGTGTCCACATGCACATCCTCTTCCCGTGGGTCACCAAAGGTGCCCACATGCACAGCCTCTCCCTATAGGTCACCCAAGGTGCCCCACACGCACAGGCTCTCTCTGTGGGTCACCAGTGGTGCCCACATGCCTAGCCTCTCTCTCGCTACATCAACTGTCGACGCCAGACCAACAATGTCCATGGTATTAGCATTATTAGTTTATATCCTTAATTCATGTCAGCTCTTTCCATTGCTGACATGAATGGAACTGAGAGGCATTAGTCAATGAATCTGTACAACACCCACACATCTCTGGCTCCACTACACCACCCGCACATCTCTGGCTCCACTACATCACCCACACATCTCTGGCTCCACTACAACACCCACACATCTCTGATTCCACTACAACACCCACACATCTCTGGCTCCCTACAACACCCACACAACTGGCTCCACTACAGTACCGACACATCTCTGGCTCCACTACATCACCCACACATCTTTGGCTCCACTACAACACCCTCACATCTCTGGTTCAACTACAACGCTTTCACAGTACTGACTTCACTACAACACCCACACATCTCTGGCTCCACTAGAACACCCACACATCTCTGGCTCCACTACATCACCCATACATCTCTGGCTCCACTACATCACCCATACATCTCTGGCTCCACTACATCACCCATACATCTCTGGCTCCACTACATCACCCATACATCTCTGGCTCCACTACATCACCCATACATCTCTGGCTCCACTAGAACACCCCACACATCTCTGGCTCCACTACAACACCCACACATCTCTGGCTCCCCAAACCTCTCACTGGATCATCCTCCCCAACACGACACAATACCATCCTCACCAAACCTGTCACAATACCATCCTCACCAAATCTGTCACAATACCATCCTCACCAAACCTGTCACAATACCATCCTCACCAAATCTGTCACAATACCATCCTCACCAAACCTGTCACAATACCATCCTCACCAAATCTGTCACAATACCATCCTCACCAAACCTGTCACAATACCATCTTCACCAAATCTGTCACAGGGCCGTCCCTCACAAAATCTTTCACCTGTTGCTCTCATTTTGCCTGTAGGAAATAAATCTTCTTGTGCCCTAAATGAAGGGAGTGAAAGGTAGTCGTTAAGTCCGACCACAGTAAACAGGCAGAATGCTCAAGTATTCATGGACACTCACCTCAATGATCCCAACATGATATTAGGACCAATCTTTCATTCCTCTAAATTCCTCGCTCAGTCAGCATGAATAAAACCAGCGTCTCCCTTCCCTCTCCCCCACGACCATCAGTGAGGTGTACATGATAAGTCGTGTACACTGTGATGTGAGGTGTACATCGTGTGTTGTGTACACTTAAAGTGCGTGTACGATGTGTGACACGAAACGTTCAGTGTCCTGGCTACCGCACCACAACACCACTCCCACACACCTAACCACCATACCACAACACCACTCTCATACACCTGGCTACCACACCACAACACCACCCACACAACTGGCTACCATACCACCACAACACCACCTACCACTCCACCACACCACCACCTCACAACACCAACACTCCCACAGTGGCAACAAAGGAGGTGGCAGAGCTACACATTGGTCAATAACTCCACCACCACCTTACCACTGGCGCGCCTCACAGCTCCCATTACTGACTGGGAAGTGCCTAAGCGGCTCTCGTGTTATTTATGTGGCATTCCTCATGAAGCACGATCACCTTATACGATCCAAGCTTTGCTATTTGATTTTAAATTAATTTGTCTTATTGCCAAATACCAGTTAATACCAAATAACCCAGGTCCAATATATCTGTATAAAATCCTGTACACTCTGGTATTATCTAAATTACCTGAGTGATGATACTTTAATTAATGTAGATTTTTAATCATTTAAAATTGATATTTTATTTTTATCTTTTATGGCAAAATTACATGAATTCCAGCAGGATATGATTTGGGATTTAGAAACTCTTATGTTATAGTTCAATCTATCCTGTCTTGCTTTTACCTTTCTCTATCATGGTTAAAATAATAATATAATTAAACCTAACCTTTACATCTTCTTATTATTTGACCGAAAAAAGTTAATAACTAAGTCGTCAGACACATTAGGTGTGATTAACTTAACACATCCCAAGTCACACAAAAAGCCCTTTCCGTGGTCTGAAAGTTAACCTAACCTAATTTTTCCTTTGGTCTAAAAGTTATCCTAACTTTTCCATGGCCTGGAACCTAACCTAACTTTCCCTTGGTCTGAAACCTAACCTTTCCTTGATCTGAAAGGTAACTTAACTTTATCATGGTCTGAAACCAAACCTACACTAACTTTCCAATGGTCTGAAACTTAACCTAACATAACCCAAGCCTAACCTTTCTAAGGTTTCAAAGCTAAGGTAATTTAAAGCTATTTTACCGAGATAAAATCAATCATGTTACAATGAACACAAAATTATCCAGGATGATTAGGCTCCTTGTAACTAATAGAAGAAAACTCATCTCATTCCTACGAGATCTGCATTAAACCTCTCCGGCTCAACCTTACCTGGTTTAGGGTAAACCTTACCCGGTTTAGGGTAAACCTTCCTTGTTCAGGGTAAACCTTCCCTGAACTATTGAATGACGGTAATGTCTGTTTTGACGTAGTGTTTGAGAACTTAGTGTGATGTATGAGTTATCAGGTGTCGTAGTTGTGGGAGTTTACATGTGGTTGGGAGTTACTGAGTTGTGGGAGTTTACATGTGGTTGGGAGTTACTGAGTTGTGGGAGTTTACATGTGGTGGGGAGTTACTTGAGGTAGGAGGTTAACTTGTCAGAAGTGAACATAATAGTGATGTGGATATATGCTGGACCGACGCCGTAAGTGGAATTAATGGCGTTGTTCCTCTAATCCATTACTGCAACAGACTTTCAGCAAGGCAAACGCCAAATGTTGTTAGGTTGTCCTCTATGTCAACGTCAAAGCTTTGTCTGAATATTACGCCTCCCTCCATTACTAATCATTCTCATTGGTTGCCTGGTCCTTTGTGCACAAGGTGTCCAGGCACTGTTCCTGGTCTTCCTTCCCGCTTAGGGTTGCTAGTGGTAATGCGAGCCTGGGGAACTTCAAAAGATTAAGCTTATGGCTGACCACTTCCAAGAGGTTTTCCATTCACATCCCCAGTGGCTCAATCGACTGGGGGCACACACCAGGGCATGGGTGTTGCTCAGGACCTTGATCGCCTATGTATGCTTGGAGAGCTCGAGGATACCCAGTTACTCTCTCGAATAGACAGGGCACCGGGGTTGGACTATATGCAGTTCCTTTGGAGGGCACCAAGAGTCCTGCAGTCCTACCTACTTCTTTAACACCTGCTGGTCCTCTAGTATCTTCCTTAACCCATGGAAATGCGCCATTCTGTCTCCCATTTCCAAAGCCTGGGCGGGATTCGTCGATCCCGAGAACTTACAGACCCATTACTCTGCTGTCATATCCTGGAAAATTTTATTGGAGCGCTTGATCTACCTACGGCTATAAATGTGATGGAAACCTATTGCCTGCTACTCGAGCCTTCTGTGGGTTCCAGCCGGGAAGTTACACGACTGACTGCCTCCTCTCCTTGGAACACTGTGTAATAGACATGAACCACCAGCGGTATTGGTCAATAACTCCACCACCACCTTGGTGGTGTTTAACACTGTCGCGCCCCCCATTACTGACTGTGAAGTGCCAAAGCGTCTCTCGAGTTATTTATGTGGCATTCTTCATGAAGCATGATCACCTTACATGGTCAAAGCTTTGCTATATGATTTTAAATTAATCTGCATTAATTAAACCACATGCGGCCAATATATCTGTACAAAATCCTTTTTGTTCCTCTGGTTTCATGTGTGTCAAGGATTGATTGAATTAAATACATCTGGGTTGTATTCTGCTGCTATCCACCACCATACTGCATTCTTTGACTTCCGGATGCTTTTGACTCGCTTGCCGTCCACCTCAGGAGCTGCTTTCTTTGCACCTT